AGACGTGACCTCGCTGAGAAAAGTTCGAGAACGGAATGTTCTCATCTATGTGAGGGAGAGTGTAACGGGTTTACATGGTGTGGGAACACACAGGGTTAGCGAAATTACCGGGAGATTTAAACAAAACTGCTCCATTAACATAAGTTGGGAGGAGTTAAACAGGTTTTTTGCAATTAACCTTGGGTGCCACACACCACACACCTTTTGGACATTTGGATTAGGTTTTAACTATGCTAGATAGTTTAAGAGAGTTCCCTTTTCCTCGTAGGCGGCTTGGGCCGCAATAATAGTAAATAAAACACTTCTGGTTTTGAAGCATAAAAGTTAAGGTACTCACTCTGAGCCCTGGTCTTGGGCTGTAAGTGTCCTTTGGATAAGGGACTTAGTATTAGTGGCTCTTTGAGTCGAACGTCTTCCTCTGACGCTAAAGCTACGGCAGCCCCGCTGCAGCGACACTTTTACGGTTCACTACGCATTACGTTGCCGAGCAGACCGAGATGCAGTTCGCGGCGGCGCTGGTTCAAGCTGATACTTATAACTATACCAAGGACTCGAGTGGATGTGTCACTGTGGTTGTGATTGGAAATTGCCCGAGCACAAGGTGAATTTGAAGGATTGGTGATGCGACTGTAAAAATTTTAAAGGAATATGAAGCTGCCATGTCGTCACACCATTGCGTACAGAAGATATTTTAAGGCACGGGGCTCTAGTACTCCTTGGGAAGAATTGACGAGAGGTGGGTATGCATTATACAGGAATATCCAGGATTTTCTTGCGTACCTGTCTTGTAGATGGACCACCACTTCACCATCTCTAAGGAAGGTGAAGCAATTCTCGTACGAAAACTTACGAATGAAGATCCTGGATCTGGGGTCAAGAAGCTGAGGACCCAATCAGAACGCTACAGGGAGGCTGTAAGAGCCACACACCTTATCGCCAACGAAATGGCGGATATCAAAGATGACTCCGAGTTTGACGACATGTTGCGGTCTATCCCGGGTCAATGGCGAAATGTTCGCCAGCAAAAATGGCTTCTGTTAATGTCCCGGCGGCGGTACAGATGAGGATGGTGAAGAACGGTTGGATGGTGAGAAGAGCTGTACTTCTAAACAAGTCAAGGTCGAGTTTGGCATAAGTTCCAGTGAAGATGAAGATAATGCTTCTAGAGAATCTACTGCAAGCACGGAAATGACGATTCGATTGAATCCTAAAGCCAAGAAGGTAAGGAGACCTCAAAACAGAAGAACGCTACTAGCGCTGGCGAAAAAAAAAACCGAAAATGGTACTAAGCTACTGAGGCGGGTAGAAAGACTACCGGAGAGGTAACTTTGACTGCTTTGCTAGACGCTCTTGAACATCAGAAGCCTGGATTGATCGAAACGCAGAGAAGTTTGTCGGGCGTCCTCGTCAAACACACTGAAGCAGAGAAGAAAAAGCCAAAGTTCAAGACACAGAAGAATCCTGTTTTAATCCAGGATCCGTTCTACATCCTCCCCAATAACCTGTTGGATGCGTGTGTTAATGTCATCCCTGTGTCAAACACCGTCGAGACGGTGATATCGATTGTCGATTCGCAGTCCAGCCAAGGCTTCCAGTACGCAGAGATCGGCAACCCAAGGAACTGTGGAGGCTGAGTCCATCAGGGATGTTGGTAATTTTACGCGCAGGCAAATTGAGATATTCTAGCGCATCCACACTTTGAAGACCGTTGTGCAGAACGGCGTCGGAATGCACAAATGGCTTGTGAAGGAAGCTATTGCTGCGCTCCCTATCGAACAGCACGACATTATTAAGCAGGTGGCAGACGAAGTAATGGAGACCTTCCCATATGAGCGGATCACAGGGCTTCCGAACCTCCCAGACTACGACTACGCAATACTCTACAGCGCGATCCCGCCCACATGGCTCACCGACGCTGCTATACGCGCGTTGTGCCGGTGTTTATCGGAAGATTACCCCACATGCAAGTTTGCTGGGTTTCAGTCTGTGCTCCTGAAATCCAAGCGGACGCGTAATAGCGAAGGGCATCCGGTGAATGCAGCGATTCAAGCGGCAGCTCTACAACATGCAGCCGATGGCGCCGTCGAAACTGTGTTGCTACCACTGAACTTCAACAATTTTCACTGGTGCTGCGTGGTGGTCAAGGTCAAGAAGAAGTGAACAATAGAAATTGGCTCGGAGGCAAAAATCAATACTTTAATCAAGTTATTTTCCACTCGAGATAAATATGAGCTCATCACAGGAAAATGCAAAAACTAGACAGGGATAGGGTCTGTAAAGGTGTGTTGCAGGTTGCGCAGCCCTCATTTGAAAATTTTCCTGATGGCGCGTATTCGATCGACTGGACGCGCGAAACCTGACACGCTTCCGGACGACGTCGACTTCCGGCACTTGTGGCGACAGCTACGAGAGGCTGGCTGGCGCTCCAGACGTCCCAAAGGCCTAGAGACTCACTGGACATACGTCAAGCCAGGAGCGCCTGCTAACGGCGATATGGGCCGTCGACGTTTTTCTAGGCGAGCCAGCTGTAGTGGCTCATATCATTAAATCCGGACTGCTACTGACCGAGAACGAGGTGAGGCTATCGATTATGCAAGAAATATCATCTATACTAACGCATGAATACAGGGAGAGGCGTCTGTAGAGCACGAGAGGCGCAAAGCTGAGGACCAGGTCAACCATGAAGCTGATGTGCAAGACGGCGAAGATTGCAGCGAAGCGGAGGTCAATGTGCGTGCGTCCCAGATCGACACCAGTGTCCAGTTATCGCAGGGCACTATGCAAGACCTATTCGGTTCGCCTACGCCAAGCGAAGTGGAGCTGTCGCAAGGAGCTGTAAATCGCGCATTTGACCTTCCGCAAGACGACGGTCAGGATGGCATTTCAGAGCGGGATGTAATTGAAAAGGCGGCCCAATTACAACATCTCTCGGGGGCTTCTGGAGCCGAAAGATTGAATTCCGATGCACCTGTCCCTAGGCGAGCTCAACCACGACGTGAATTCAAGCGCGACGTTAACTTTGTGGAGGCCAACGAGAACTCGAGTGACTACGAGCACTTTTACGGTAAGTCAATTGCGCAAACAAATGTATGCGCAAACAGATGATTGGACGAACAGGATGATTGGACGAGTCCATGATTGGATGCACCAAATGATTGGATGCAGACTAGGACGTAAGACAGAGTAAGCTCCAATAAATCAATCACTTTGCATTTTATCATCTAGTGCACAAACGACCTTCCTTTTGGTTATGAGCCCAAGC